GCACTGGTGTAACGTGATGTTTCTCAAACTCTAATGTATATACAAATCACTTGGCAATTGTGTACAAATGCAGACTGATTCAGAGGTTGATGCTCTTGGCCACAGACCACTCTAAGTAGCAAGGGTATGGAATATTCCATTGGGGATAGAGGAAGAAAGTTTGCTTGCAACATTCGTTCACATAGATAGTTGCCCATTCAGCATTTTGATAGGTAGGGGGTGAAAAACCTTAAGCATTAGTCCCCTCATTCTTTTTTCAGATGGAGATACCAAAGAAGCCATAAATTAAATGGGTCTCCAAATCAATGATAAACTAGGGAACTGAAGTGAATCAGCCCAATCTGTCTCCCCATGTCTGAGGAACGAATAATTTGTACTCTGGGAGACATATACAGCATGAGATGGTATCCACTTCAGTGGACTGTTTACAGAACTCCATGTTCAGAATCTGACTCAGGAGAAATGAGTACTTTTTCTTAAGAGATTTCCTTAGTTTGAATCAACATGCTTTGTCTTGCAACAGGTGGAAGCCATTTTGCAGAAAAAACGATGGCAACAGAGGGATCTCAATGGTAAGACCATGAGATGTATCCAAGCCTGCCCTCATCCTGGGGGCATCAGAGTCGTAAGCACTGTGATATTTTAATTTAAGCACCATTAACAACCTTAAACCCAAGATCATGAGTTTTATACCGTGAGCAGAAAATACAAGCATGTCCTTGTACTAAGGAAGTCATCATTAATTCATTTCATTCACTCATTCATTCATCTATTTATTAAATATTGAGTGTTTCCTCTATGGCAGACACTATTCTAGGAGCTGGGGATTTAGGAGAGACCCAACTACAACACATATCCATGCTTTTCTATCTATCTATTATAAAATGCTTTAGGCACTGAGGCAAATGAGATGGTTCTGTGCTTTAGTCAGTATAGAAGAGTAAGGGATTTAGAGAGTGCTTCTCTAACTGAAGAGCCCAGTTTTTATCCCCAACCTGTTGCACATTGATGAAATATAAAAATGAATTGCTAGAAAAAAGAAATTTTAAAACCCACAAAGATATACAAAACACAAGGCCCAATTTTTTATTACGGGATTCAACAATGTCAAAATGCAAAAAAAAATTAAGTGTCTAAATGCTCACTCCTAAATTCTCTATGTCTCACAGCGGACTGGTGACAAACAGCTTGCAGACAAGCATAATCCTCAGAATCCACTTCGAGTAGAACTGGGTGGGAGCACAGACTCCAGGGTTACAGTGCCTGGGTTTGAATTACAGTCTACTACTTGGCAGCTATGTGACTGTGGGCAAGTTATTTAATTTCATTGTTTCTCAGTTTCCTCACCATAAAAAGAATACCACTCAGAGTTGCTGCCATACATTTTAAACACTTACAAGTCAATACAGACAAAGCGCTCAGAATAGTGTCTGACTCATAGTAAATGCTACTAAAGTGTTAGCTGCTATCATGACTACTATCTACTATTATAACTGCTATCTTACTGTTTTTACTTCTTCTATTATTACTACTAGTGTTACTCTGCTGTATCAGCTTGGGTCAACACTGGCACAGTTGTTTTATGTATAAAATGCTGCTTGTCAACTCTTCCTTACTACAGACTTCCTTCCTTCCCTCCTATGGAATCTGTGACTAGAAAGTGAAGTCACTGAGAACACATGTTAGCACCCATGGAAATGCCTCTAACAACCCAAGTGTCTGTACTGCCCAGATGCCATTTCAGAGAGATGAGGACAAAATGTCCTGGGGTTCTCTTCACAGAGCTCCCAGGCACTGTGTCTGTCCGTCATCAAACAAAGGGAAGCATCACTGAGACAGCTGTCCTTCCACCATCCTGGAGAATCTGGCTGGGCTGATGCTGTGTGACACTGGGTGCTGCCTCAGGGAAAGGCACGTCCTCCCTTCTACTCTGTGACCTAACAAAAGTTTAGCAAAGGGAAGAACTTTAAAGGACATATTTATGCTTCCTGTAATTGAATACTCAACCCACATGTATCTTTCACACATACACATATTTCTCAAGCTCCTTCTTAACATTGGTTTTGGATTCTCAGCTAAAATTTTTGAAAATGATTTCTTACTCTTTCTTTGGATTAGCCACCTACAATTAGCTGGGAATAAAATATTAAGGAAACACAGAAACACATTCAAGAATAAAATTCACCTTGTGCATGTAGAGGAAGACAAAAAAAGAAATGAAGCCTGAGTTTGGGAAATGATTAGAAAACAATTTACAATCACTATAAGGCAGGAGGATATCCAAGATAGGAAAGGAAAATAACCATTTCCTTGTTTGCTTTTTAAACGGCATAAATAACTCTCTCTGAGAATATTAAACAAACTTATTAATATAGTTTAAATAATTTGCATTTTCACAAAATTTTTATTAAAAAAATAGAGCAACATAATCACCAAAAAAATGAAGCAGGTGTGTTAGCTCTGGGAAAAAAATTTGCAGGTTAATAGCTTGAAAGGTCTTAGTCTCAAGATGTATTCACTTGTATATATCTTGACGAGGTCAAAGAGAAAAGAGGTAAAGTTGGAGTTCTTATCTAGCCTCACAATGACATAAAGGACAAGGGGCATAGTAACATGTACAAAATGGCTGGGGTTGAGGTTGGGAGTGATCTGACAGGCTCATGCAGACTGCCCAGATACATCATTTAGCTGGTAGCATATGGCCTTGACATGGCCCAGATTATAGTAAACAAGTTAAGAGTTTTAATGTATCTTTGCTACTGAAGCTGCAAATTATCACATTTAACAAGCCAGCATTATTAGTTCACAGATTCATTCTGTAGTGTACTGTTGTGTTTTCTTTTTCCTTTTAAATTCAGTACTCTAAGCATGTTCAAGTTGCTCTGTATGACATATCATGTGACATTTCAGAGAAATAAATATTAAAAGGTTTTCTGATGGAAATGAGGGTAATGATATGGTCAGACAACACATAAAAGTAAACATATTTTTGTTACTACTTCTCATCTCCCCATTCTGACTCTGCAGGTATTTATGACTCTCAAAACTTATTCACTGTATCCATCCTTCCATCCATCCATCCATCCATCCATCCATCTATCATGCATTCATTTAATAAGTTATTCATTGAGCACCTTCCTGTTGCCTGGCACTACAATATGTGTTTGGAACTTACCTTCTAGTGGGAAAAGACAGAAAATACACAAGTCAGTGAAATTAATTAATAATTAGAGTTGTAATAAGTGTTAGGAGGAAAAAAACAAAATGTTAAAATACTGATTAACTGGGGAGATCTATCTAGGATCTTGACAAAAAAAAAGTATTCTATCCAGATAATTCAAATAAAGACATATGAATGAAGAAATAACTTACAGAGGTATGGGCAGGGTTGAAAGAAGCAACAAGGAATACTGAGGCACCCAGAGACTTGTAACAGCAGAGAGATGAAATCAAGAGGCAAGGAGAAGAAATGGTATTGCCAAAGTCTAGTGAGAGCTGGAGCTATGGAAGATGTGTCACCTAGCAGGAACTCCGGTTATGGAGGGAGAAGTGAAGAAGAAAAGGAGAAGAAATCACCCACCCTCTTTCTCCTCCTTTCCAGTCTTCTACTCATGCTGCCTATTTGCAGAACCTGATCAGAAGTCACCCGGCAAGGGGTCCTCCATGACACAGTCCATAGCGTTTGGCCTCAGTATTGATAATAGATGGGGGTGGTGTGAGGGAGAATGAGAGAAGCAGGATAACCAGGAAAGGAGACCTACTTAGGTAGGACAGTCAGGAAAAGCCTTCCAGTGGAGGTGACATTTGAAGTGACACCCAGAGAGGAGAAGACCCCAGCCACGCAAAGAGCTGGTGGAAAAGCAATCCAGCAGGAGGATCGAGCATGTGCCTTTAGCATTCCCACTTCACTGCACCCCATACTCAGTACAGATCCTTCACCAGTTGCATGGCTAACAGAGACCTAGACCATCCAAACGAACACCTTCCTATTCTATTTTCTCAATATCATAAAAAAGCTTGCTCATAAAAAAGAATGCTCATAACTAGGATGCTTCCCTAAGAAAGGTCCAGCACTTTTGTTAATTCTAATGTACACAGAAAAATAAGGGGAGACATATGTCAAGGCAGGTAAGGTCAGACAACTGGAGCAAGTATAACTCCCTTTCATTTATGCCACTTCTCTTTGAAAAGCTCAAGCCTTCCACACTTTGAACAGTCTCATATTGTACAATTTCCGTAAAAGTGTGCGACTGTGTCTACCCTCTTAAATGAAGAAACATGATAAGGATTCAATTCCAATGTAATAATAGTTAATGTATACCTATAATTTAAACTCATACTAATTTTCTTTTAGTTTTATATTTACCTCCAAGTCATTCGCTAAAATGTATAGAAAATATATACCTCAAGCCTATTAATCAAAAATATCTACTGACAGAATATTTTTTCTGATGCTAAGATACCTTTTTTTTTAAATACAAAGTAAAATTTTCAATATTAACAAGATCATCATGTGAATTCAGTGATTTGACTTTTAAAGGCCAGTTTACTGGTTCAAATTCTTTGTAAGGTAGCCAAGTCATTGAAAGGTAAGTCTGCCCTTAAAAGGTACAGAGAGTTTCCTGCTGGTAATTGAGGTTAGGCATCATAACTTCCTTCCTGTTAATCTTCCATACTCCGGGATGCATTCACTAATGGAAAAATAGTTCCTTTCAAGGACAAATTTCAGGCATAGTAAAGAGGAATTGCCTGCATGTTTATGAGATTCACCATCTCGCATAGCCAAAGCTAACTGTTTTCTTTCCTTAAAGATCTTAAGGAACTTCCATTATCCAACTACATTAAACCTAAATTTCCCTAGTGCCTATTTAATTTATTTTCCCTTGTTTTGTCCCTGATGTATATGGAAACAGATGGCAATTCTTCTTTTTTAATTTATGACTCTTGCCAAGTCATTAAAAATTGCTGATAAAAATAATAAGCTCAAAGTGTATTATTACCTGTAGGAGAGGACGCTGCACACCCAGCACCTTCATGGTATCTGCATTAGCCAGAATCTTCAAAGGGTCAGATGTTTTAGTGACTCCTTCAATCTCCTTGTTGATCTCAGCCAAGACTTGATTGAGAAAGATGTTTTTGATGTACACGGTGAGAAACTCTCGAAGAGGACACTGTTTGGCTGGGCCAAGACCCAGGGCATGCTCAATCTCCTGAATAAATCTGGAAGATAAACAGTAAGACGGTTATTACATTTATCAGGAAAATGTTACATAAATATGACATGATGATGTGAGTATATCTAGGTGTTGGCTATTTCTGTGAAGAGGGTAGGTCATCAATAATACCCGTCTATATATAATTTTTAATCTTTTAGAAATATAAATTACTCCATTAATTGAATAGAAATAAGATGAAATAGAAAATATGACTTCTAAAAATGGCGGGGAAGGAGAAGACAAAAAGTATTTTTAATTCAAGGAGGTAAGACTATAAGAAACAATGGGAAAATGTGAATAACAAAAACCACAAGTTTTCATGCAAATTAAAAAGCACACCCCCAAGACTACATATTTCCCACTGAAATGTTTACATCAGGGGTCCCCTCTTTCACCACCCCACCCCCCGAGGGGCCATGTACCAGTATGGGTCTACAGCCTGTTGGGAACCAGGCCGCACAGCAGGTGGTGAGCTGCTGGCTGGGTGAGCATGACCACCTGAGCTCCGCCTCCTGTCAGATCAGCCATCACATTAGATTCTCATAGAAGCTTGAGCCCTAATGTGAGCTGCGTGTGTGAAGGATCTAGGTTGCATGCTCCTTATTAGAATCTAATGTCTGACCTGTGGTGGAACAGTTTCATCCCGAAACCATTCTCCCCCAACCCCTGTCCATGGAAACACTGTCTTCCATGAAGCTGGCCCTTGTGCCAAAAAGGTTGGGGGGCTGCTGCTTTACACATATAGGTATAAATGTCAAAAAGTAAGAGAGAGAATGAAGGATGCTCTAAAATTCATGATGATATGTGAGTTCAGAGGTTAAGAAAGGGAAGGGGATGGGAGTTGGAGGACAAAGGAGAACTTCAAGCTTACTTGTAGTCATCTATTTCCTTTAATAAAAACACTTAAGGAATACATAACAGAAGGCTAATGATTGTTAAGTTTCAGAGATGAGTCTACAGATGTTTGTTACATTATTCTTTTTAATTTTCTACACAGCAGCCCCTGCTTTGCATGGTTTAATATGAACAAATTGAAGTGACTACTGTTTTTTAGTTAAATAACATCAGCCCATCAATTACATAATTTAAATACCTCAATACCACAGTATAGTCACCACAGTACATTAAATTTAAGTAACTAAATAAAGTATAAACTTTGTTGCTAGCTTCTCTGAAATCCCTATATATAACTAATGTGTGTTCATCATGATTAGTGACCAGTCACATCACTTCTTCCAAAGTCTACTGGCAACTGGTCACCGTGCATTTGTTATTCAGTTCATACACAGGCAGCAAAGCATGCAGCTGGGGTGCCTCCCTGTCTTTCACTGATAAACCCCTGTGACATTTTATAACAATGGATAATTGAAAGCGGGGACTGGCCAACAAAGATAAAAGTACCGCGAAGTGTTAACACTGGAAGTAAAATGTGAATGGAATGTAAACGGAGTTACAGGAGAAATAGCTGGCCATGGGAGTGTTGACAGTGCTGCCATTGGAGTGGCATAGCCAGACTACAGGCCAGCACAGACGAGGAAGGTGCTTGTGACTAAAGGGATGAAGAGGGTGAAGAGGGATGAGATGACGGAGGAAGTGGTGTTGGCAACACATTTCACATTTAAAAAACTCCTGGAGATATTTCACAACATTGAAAAAAAAAAAAGATAAAATGCTGGCAGCTATGCAAATTTAGGAGTATGGCAGTTCGCTGAGGCCCAGAAAGGATGCTTGCTGTTTATTGTAAAGCATACAAGGGCATGGCAAGCACTGCTAAACTACTCTTGGTAAGATTTTACCAAAAAATAAAACACTTTAATTCTCAATGTTTCTTTCTAATGTTACAGTATACTGAATACATATCAGTTTTCTCATTTTTCATTTCTGCATATATTTATAAATGACAGGAAGAGAGTTTTTAATTTTTTGACACAGAGTCTCACTGTCACCCAGGATGGAACACAGTGAGACCTGGTACAATCTTGGCTCACTGCAACCTCCACCTCCTGGGTTCAAGCGATTCTCCTGCCTCAGCCTCCTTAGTAGCTGAGATTACAATTGCGCACCACTACACTGGCTAATTTTGTACTTTTAGTAGAGATGGCTTTTCACCACGTTGGCCAGGCTGGTCTCGAACTACCGGCCTCATGATCCGCCCGCTTTGGCCTCTCAAAGTTTTTTAATGTTTTGACAGAAAATTTTAAAGTCATGAAACAATCGCGACTATCCTTATTTATTAAGATTGCTTTGCGTGGTTTCAGCTTGCATGGTCATTTTTACAGTTCTCCAATGCTATAGAAAGCAAGAGCTGTATTGTACTTCAATTTCTTCTCAAAAAAGGGGAGAAGAAAAATAAATGAAAATATAAAATGAAAAACCAACTGGGAAGATATAGTTGCAATTCATATCACAGATGATGGCCAGAACTCAAGAAGAAAAAAAAACTCAACTTGATAAAAAATAAAAAAGATCAAAACACATGAAAAGACTGTTTATAGTCTAAGAAATACAATGACCGTTAAACATTAGAAAAAAGTATTCATAATAAGAAAAATGCAAAGTTAACTATACTGAGATACCAATTTTTATACTAACGCAACTGGCCAAGTTCCAAAAGTCTGAAAACACTCTGTTGCCGTGTGAAAAAAGAGGCATTCTCATGTATTACTGATACGAGTGAAAAATGGTAGAACGCTTATGGAAGGCAAGTTGGCACTATTATTCAAAACTCCAGATGCACTTCTTTATGGCCCAGAAATCTTACTTCTGGGACATTCTTCTGAGAGCTGTATCTAAAAATGGATGTGATAATCTATATACAGGGTATATAGATCATTACAGAATTGCTTTTAGGTAAAAGACTGGGAACAACCTGAAAGTTCGTCCATTAGGGAATAATTAAATAACCTGTGGTATATTTACATATTGGAATACTGTACAGCTCCCACTGCCTTCAAATGTGGAAACTTTTCATGTACTAACATGCAAGGATATCCAGGATATATTGTCACATGGAAAAAAAGCAAGCTCAGCTCAATCTAGTTAGTAGTATTTACAACACTAACCTCTCTATAAAAATGATATATCCTCGTTTGTTTATTTTAGATAAAGACACCCTGGGAAGTCTCACAAAAAAAACTAGTAACTACCCATAGGAGGCAGGGGTGGGGGTCAGGTACGGGAGAGAAGTGGAAAAGAGTCTTTTGAATTATAACTTTTAATAATCATTTGATTGTTAAAAACTGTTAATGTATTCACTACTCAAACAAATTAGAAAATTTAAAAAATGCCTATACATATCAAAGACAGTATTTCATAAATTGCTGTCTAAGTAGACACATTTAAAGTGTGGTGTATAAACAGTTCCTTAAGTTTAGCTGTTTAACCTAATAAAGAGTTTCCCTTATTTACTAAATCAATGTACTGCAGTTAATCTTACGTATTACCAGTTAAATGCCTTATTAACCCCTGGGGTGTGTGTGCCTGTGGTGGGGGGGATGAAGATGGTATATATATAGGATTATCATAATTGAGAAAAGTAGTTTTCCTTCAAAGAAATTCGGGAGAGATGAAATTGAGAAGGCACAAGAAAGCATTGAGGCTTCTTAACTGATTTTATCAGTGTGAAAGGAAAATAAAATATGACCAAAAACTAGATATAATGGATCTTTAAAGAGAGGGTGAGCGGAAGGCGGCAGGAAAAATGGAGAAATAAAAGTAGATGGTTAAGCATGGCCACAATTTGAAGATCTCCAAATACCACATCCTGCTACGCTGACCCCTTCTGATCTCATCTAACCCTCCTCCGCCCAGGTGCATCCTAGCCTACCTGGTTGGCTCTCAAAAGAAAACGGCTGTTATTAATTTGCTAATCAGTAAATACATGAAAACTCTTTATCATTTTTTAATATTATGAGAATTAATTATCAGAATCTCTATTTTCTTCAAAGTGACTTTGGGAAAGAGTTTTCTGAGTGTATTTCCAACATTTTCAAAATATTTAACATTTATTAGAACAAAATTTTTACCAGCCAATCTGCTCCTATGCAGATGGGCAGAAGACTCTAAATTAGCCTCATTTTCTTTTCTCCTAGTCCCCTATTTGCCATTGGTGTTCCTGAAATACGAACTGCACTGAGCAGCACCGACAGAGGGGCCCCCATTGCTCCTGGCTGAGTGATTTCTTTCAAATTCAAATTGTTTATTCCCTAGAGCATACACATCCATCTCACATGACACATCCAGGTTGATGCTGTCAGCCCTAACTGGAGGGGACTCATTCAACATGTTTCCAAATCTGCTTTCAGAGCTGCAAGGGACCTCACTGTGCAGAAGCACAAAACATGTGGGTGAGAATGAAAGAGAAAAATTAACGCTGCTTCACCAATCTCTTCCTTTTTTTTTTTTTTTTTTTAATTGTATGCTGGACTGTTGCATAGGTGCATACGTGCCTTGGTGGTTTGCTGTCTCCATGCCCACACCACCCTGTCGCCTACATCTGGCATTTTTCCCGGTGTTATCCCTCCCCATCCTCTCCACTCCCACCCCCCTCTCCCTCTGCTCCACTCCCCTCCACCCCCACCACCTAGCCCTGTGAGTGCTGTTCCCTTCCCTGTGCCCAAGTGTTCTCATTGTTCACCACCCACCTATGAGTGAAATCATGTGGTGTTTGGTTTTCAGTTCTTGTGTCAGTTTGCTGAGAATGATGGTTTCTAGATTCATTCATGTCTCTACAAAGGACAGGAACTCGTCGTTTTTTATGGCTGCATAGTATTCCATGATGTATATGTGCCACATTTTCCCTGTCCAGTCTGTCATTGATGGGCGATTGGCTTGGTTCCAGGTCTTTGCTATTGTAAACAGCGCTGCAATGAACATCCGTGTGCATGTGCCTTTATAATAGAACGATTTATAATCCTTTGGGTATATAGCCAGTAATGAGATTGCTGGTTTCAAATGGAATTTCTATTTCTAGATCCTTGAGGAATTGCCACACTGTCTTTCACA